TGGGCGCGGGCTGGGTGGGCGCGCGCTGGGGGCAGGGCAGCCGGCGCGAGCAGGGCCGGATCTGGAGCAATGCTAGCCACGAGCGGCAGGCCAACCCGCGCAGCACGAGCGGGGGCAGCCCCGTGTGCCCGCCCTGCCCCCAGCGCGCGCCCACCCAGCCCGCGCCCACCCACCAGGCGCTTGCCAGCTGCCGCCAGCTGGTCGATCAGGTTGTCGTCTGGCACCGCGCCGGCGGTGAAGGAGGAGGACACGTCGAAGAAGGAGGGCAGGCCGCCGGTGGCCAGGCTCTTGAGGCGCTGGGTGGTGGTGGTGGGCGCGTCGGCGATGAACATGAAGGCACGCGAGGCGCCCTGCGGGGGGCGGCCCCCGCGGGCGGCGGCTCAGACACATGGAGCGCCAGCCTGTTGCAGGCTGTAGCGGGCATTGGGTACTGGCCGCTGGCGGCATGGTGCCTGAGCCCACCTGGCGGCGGGCCAGGTCAGACAGGAAGGGCATGTGGCCCTGGTGGCACACGCCCGTGGGCGCGCAGCTATAGCGCTGGTCGGCCACCACAAAGTCGTAGCGCAGCGCATCCACCATCAGCCACACCACGCGGTCGTAGGGGGGCGCCGTGCGGTTGGCCGCTGGTGGTGGCGGCGCGGAGCGGTGCGGGAGGTGCACCCGCGTGAGCAGGAAGCCGTGGATGAACAAACCCAGCGAGATCAGGTGCAGGGCGAGAATTGCGGCAGCTCCCAGCCGGGGGCGCCTCAGCAGGGCCACGGTTCCGCTGAGCACCATCTCAAATTCGGCCTTGGCGTCAGCGAGTGCCTAGGATTGCGCAATCATAATGCTGGACTTGTGTTTGCAATCGCAATGCCCAGCAGGCGGTGGAATGCACAACCATGTCTCGGCAGGACGGCCAGCTGGACCTTTTGCCGTACACTTGATCAAGGATTGGACATGAACAATTTCTTTATTATTTGGTTCACCATGCAGGCCAGTGTTCAGTGCACCCTCTCAACCCCCGCCGGGACTGCTCCTCGCCAGCGGCCCTCACCCAGCGGCTTCAGTAGAAGCGGCAGGCCACCAAGGACACGAAGAGGCGAGGCTTTAAATGCCCAGGCGGCGCGAGAGGCCGAGGCCCCCAACACCAGCACCAGCGGCGGCGGCGGCGGCGGCGACTTGTTCTTTGCCGCCGGGCGCGAGGGCGCCGAGCGACAGCGCCTCTTCAACACCATAGCCCCCGTGTACGACCAGCTCAACGATCAGCTCAGCCTGGGGCTGCACCGCGTGTGGAAGCGCATGACGGTGAAGTGGAGCGGCGCCGCCACGGGGGGCCGCGCGCTGGATGTGTGCTGCGGCAGCGGCGACCTGGCCTTCCGCCTGGCAGAGGCGGTGGGGCCCAGCGGCAGCGTGGTGGGCCTCGACTTCTCCGCCAACATGCTGGCAGACGCGGCGCGGCGGCAGCAGCAGCGGCAGCAGACACTGGGGCCGGCATACAACATGGAGTGGGTGCAGGTGCGATTCGTGGGCCGTTGCCTGTGCGCCTGTGTGCCGTGCCGCCACCAGCAGCTGCTCTCCCCTTCCCCCAATGCTGCCGTTCCCCCCACCAGCCTGCACTACCCCTCGCGCCTCGCCGCAGGGTGACGCCATGCAGCTCCCGTTTGAGGCCGGCAGCTTTGATGCGGCCACCATGGGCTATGGGCTGCGCAATGTGGCAGACAGGCCCGCGGCGCTGCGGGTGAGCACAGGTTTTGCATGGCCAGCTGGCAGGCATGGCGATGCCTGTGCCGTGCATAACCTTGCCCCCCCCCCCCAAACGATTCCCCACTTTCCCTGGCCGTCTGCCTGTGCCCCCACCCGCACACCTCTGCCCGCCATGCCTCCCCGCCTCCCGGGCGCAGGAGCTGCACCGCGTGCTGCGCCCCGGCTGCTCGGTGGCGATCCTGGACTTCAACAACGCCGCCGACAACGCGGTGGTGGACGCCGCGCAGGCCTGGTTCCTGGAGCAGCTGGTGGTGCCCGCGGCGCGCTCGCTGGGGGTGGCAGAGGAGTACGAGTGAGTGGGGGCGGCACGGAGGGGGGCTGGAGGGGTAGGGGGAGGGGCTGAGGAGGAGGGTTGTGTGCGGTGAAGCCGCTCCATTCTCGCCCTTTGTGCCCATCAGCCAGAGTGTGGATGCCATGGCTGGCCAGCGGCACACGCTGGAAGGCGGCTCTGGCCATGTCGCTGTGCCGCCGACCGCCGACCCCGCCGCCCTGCCGTCCCGCAGGTACCTGCGGCCCTCCATCCAGCGCTTCCCCAGCGGGCCGCAGCAGGAGGTGCTGGCGCGGCAGGCCGGCTTCGCCACGGCGGTGCACTACCCGATCGCCTTTGGCCTCATGGGCTGCTTGGTGGCCACCAAGGCCGAGTAAGGCTCTGCTGGCTGCCCAATCCTGCCATGTAAGTTCAAGCCACACATGTCCTATGGAGGCCAGGAGGCTGGTATTGTCTGCGACCAGCACCGGCACCAGAGCTGCGGGGTGCAAGTCCCTATGAGTCTACGGCAGCGGGCAGGGAAGCAGTACAAGCAATGAAAGGAGAGCAACAAATGGATGAAATGATACAACTTAAGAGGTACAGCAGGGAGCAAGGAGCAACAACATCAGAAGCAGGGCTTGGAGCAGCCGAGCTGCCGCCTGGGGCTCATGCCGCGGCGCCCACTGCCGCCTGCTCTGCCGCCTCCTGCTGCTGCCGCCTGAGCATGTTCTTCAGGAAGAACTCGCCGGCGCGGTAGCTGCTGCGCACCATGGGGCCGCTGGCGGCGTACAGGAAGCCCATGCCCTCCGCAATCTGGGAGAGGAGGTGGCAGCAGCGGGGTCACGAATGAGGCACGGAGCGGCAAGCACAACCATGGGCTGTCCCCGAATCCCATCTAGCCCAGACCGCCCTGTCGGATCCCTGGCCCCACACCACAGCACAGCCCCAGGCCACCCAGGCCGCCCACCTTTTGGTAGGCCTCAAACGCCTCTGGCGTCACATACTCGGCCACCGCCATGTGGCGCTTGGTGGGGCGCATGTACTGCCCCAGGGTCACCACATCCACATCGTACTCCCTGCACCGCCAGCAAGCGCCCGGGGCGTGAGCAGGGAGGCCACACGACGGGGTGATGGCAAGTGGTGGCTGACGAGGCAAGCCAGCCCCCTTCCTTCTCCTCCCGCTCCTCCTTGCCTTGTGCTGACCCCCCCACACGCGCCTGAGCGTCTTGAGCGTCTGCACCACCTCGTCCGGCGTCTCCCCGCAGCCCAGCATGATGGACGTCTTGGTGACGCGCGCCCCCGCCTGCTTGGCCGCCGCCAGCACGCCCAGGCTCTGTGCCCAGCCCGCGCGCCGGTCGCGCACCACCCCCTGCAGCCGCTCCACCGTCTCCACGTTGTGCGCAAACACGTCCAGCCCGCTGCGCGCCACCAGGTCCACACATTCGCGCCGCCCCTGCTCCGGGGTGGGGTGGCGCGGGACAGGGGGCAGCGCTGGGCGCGGCGCAGATGCCCGGCCGGCTGGCTGGGGCGGCAAGCATGGCAGGCAGGCAGGCATAGGAGCAGGCACACGCAGGCAGGGCGGGTGCGGCAGCAGGCACGGCAGGCCGGAGCAGGCACGGCAGGGCACGGGGCAGGCACAGCGCCCCTCCCCCGCACAGAGCCGCCCGCGGCGAGAATGTTGACCCCCGCTCCCTCCCCCGCAAATAGTCTGGTTGGGTTTGGCATTGTTACTTCTTTCTCTCGACTCTTCCCCTCCCCTTTCGCAACTTCAAAACGGTTTCTGAAGTGACGCATCTGCGGCACCATCATGGCTGCTGCAGCGCTGTAAACTGACCTCCCCCGCTCCCCCCCCGCACCCCCGGCTCCCTCCCCGCACCCTCCCTCCCCCTGCCCGGTCTTCACCTGGAAGTCCGGCACCAGCGCCTCCACCAGCAGCCGCCCCGCCGTCTGCTCCTTGAGGTGGCGGATGGTGGCGGCGATGTGCGCGGCGCCATAGTCGGGCAGGTCGTCTCGGTCCACAGACGTCAGCACCACGTATTCAATCCCCCAGGCAGCCACGGCCTGCGGGTGCGGGAGCGGGGGGAAGAGGGCGAGGGTGGGGATGAGGCGGCGGCCAGGCGGCGGCCAAAGGAGGCCAGGCAAGCCTCCTCCCCACCAAATGGCTGAACGGTGGCCTGGGCTGAGTGCGCACCCCAACCGCTGCCACCACCAGCCCTCCCACCAGCCCTCCCAGCACCCCACAGCCCTTCCCCCCCCCACACACCTTGGCGGTGTTCTCCGGCTCGTTGGGGTCCAGCGGCGGCGGCGCGCGCGACGTCTTGACCGCGCAGAAGCGGCAGCCGCGGGTGCAGGTGTCGCCCATGAGCATGATGGTGGCCGTGGCGGCGTGCCCCTCGCCCCCCTTCCAGCACTCCCCCAGGTTGGGGCACTTGGCCTCCTCACACACCGTGGCCAGCTTGAGCTCCCGCAGCTTCGATTTGATGCCCGTGTAGGCGTCGCCGCCGGGCAGCTCCCGCTTGAGCCAGTCGGGCTTGCGCGCCTTGTCCTGCAGGGGGGGGCAGGGCCGCAGCAGCGGTGTTGCCCCACATCCATCTCCGTCACCTCTGAAAGCCAGAGTGGGGCGTGCAGGGCAACAGGGGCGCCCCCCTGCTCCGTCCCGCTGCACGCACCTTGGGCCGCGGCGCATGCACCGAGTAGCCCTCCAGGTCAGAGCCCTTGATGAAGTCGCCCAGGTCGGGTCCTGCGAGTCAGGAAAGTGGCATGGGGTGCTGAGAGAAGGGCAAGGACAGAGGGCGACGTGCCACTCTGCTCTGCTGCTGCCGCCAGCGCCGCCCGCTTGCCCGCCCTACCTGCCGCCAGGCGCTGCTTCAGGGCGCTGATCGCCGCCGTCACTCCCTCCTCCTGGACCGCGGGCCGCAGGGCCTGGGCCGGCTCGGCAGCGGCGCTGTAGGAGCGGGCCAGGAGGCCCAGGCCCTGAGCGAGCCGGCCTGTGCGCTGCATTGTGGTCCTGCAGTGCCCTGACCAACAGGAGAAGGGCGTGGCATCCAGGAGGCGCGGCTTGATGGGAGACTCTCGGCAGGGCAGGACACCGGGCAGGACAGGAAGCCAGGAGGACTTCTGCAGCGCATCGGCAGGCCCGCATGCATATGCACTGTGCAGCAGGCGGGACTCCAGGGACCTGCATGCAGCAAGGGAGCTGCATGCGCTGCATGCTCTTGCTGGCCTGAGCTGAGCTGAACGCAAGACTGGGCCCGCTACACCACGTGCACTGCATTGATTTAATCAGCGGGGCACCATGGCGGACACAGTCAGGTGCGGTGTGCCTGGGCGGCGGCGGCAGCGTCGACGGAACCCGGCTGCCCGCGCGCCCAGCTGTGGTGCACCAATCCTCTGCTCCCCGCCCCGCCCTCTGACCCGTCCCAGGTACCTGCTGGAGGAGATGGTGCCGGAGCTGGAGGCACTGGAGGCGCGCGGCTACTTCTCCCGCGCCGAGATCCGCGCCATCGTGCAGCGCCGCCAGGACTTTGAGTACGCGCTCAAGCGCATGGCGGCGGTCAAGGAGGACTACCTGAGGTGCGCAGGGGGAGGGCAGGCGCAGGGAGGGAGGCATGTTCAGCGGCAGCGGGGGGGGGGGCGGAGGGGGAGGGGGGAGCGGTTGTTGCCAGGGGAGGGCCAGGGGGCCAGGGGGCGGGGCCCCTGTCCCTGGCCCCCCCCGTTTAAACCGCTGGGGACCTTGCGGCTGGCTGCCCCGCCCCCTTCCCCCCCGTCCCGCCGCAGGGACCTCCCGTACCAAAGGGAGCTGGACCAACTGCGCGAGGGGCGGCGCTCCTCCCCCGGAATCAACGGCAAACCCGGCCTGGCGGAATGGGGCATCACCCGCCCCAAACACTTCATCCACGAACGAACCCCACCC